TCTCTCTCTCTCTCTCTCTCTCTCTCACACACACACACACACATATTTACATAGCAGGCCATAATTGGGCGATAATTTTTCCCAGGAAATTCCTTACCAATTCTTGCTCATACCTTTTGCAATTTTGAGAGGGGAATAAGTTAGCAATTCTTGACTTGTGAGCAGCGGGCAGTAATCTCACATTGGGAGTTTCAGAACATGAAGGGATTTTGGATCCAAAGAGTCTTCAGTTTGCCCTGGATACCGCCCAGGTTCTGAATTCACCCAATTAGTGGACCCAATTAATGAACAGAGATATTCAGAATGTTTATTTTTTTTTCCCATTTGCCAGTGACATGATACTGCAGTTATTCAATATACTGCAATTTTTCCTTTCTTTTATATCATCATCATCGTCTTTACAGTCTTTATTTTAGAACCCATATTTTTCTGTTGTCTTCCAACTTCCAAGCTTTTTCTTCAAAATAGTCACTCATAAGCCAAAAAAATGTGATAAAAGATCAGCCAATTTAATATTTGAAATTTCCAAAAGTGGATTAGTTGCATCCAAGACTACTTAAAGGAGTTTCATTTCAGGATGCCTTTTTCTGATCTTTGAAAAATCATTGAGGACAGGTGTAGAGCCAGAGGGCTGGAAGAGAACAAATGTTGTTGCTAGCTATCGTAATTCATGCCTTCATCACCTGCAGTGAACTCTACATGGGTCAGCATTTAAGACCATCTAGAAGCTATAATTGGTTCAAACTGCAGCCACTTGCTTGTTAGTGGCACACATCATCAGGAATATTTTACAAGGCCCTGCATTAATTTCAAAAAGGCTTCTGGGTGCAGTTCAAGTTATTGGTTCAGACTTATAAATTCCTATATGATTTAGCACTTAGATAACACCAAGACTACATTCTCCACCCTGAATTGAACTGACCAACTCATTTGTTCAGGAAAAACTGTTGTTAGTGCCCCACTTCCATAGGGGGGGCTTCTATTTTTTGGAACAGCATCCTAATTAAGATCTGGCTGTCCCCCCCTTGGTGTGCTCTTGGAAAATGCTGAAAATTAAACTCTTTCAAAGAGCTTTTATAGCCCGAGTAGGTGTCATTTGGTTTATTTTATTTTATTATTTATAACTTGTTTTTATTGGTTGGAATATTGTTGTTTGTTTATGGATAACCTATTTGTATTATATGGGCATTTTTGTTGCATTATTATTATTAAGCACCAAGAGTCTTCAAATATTACAGTAGGTTACAAGTTGAATGAATGAGAGGGAAAAAAGAGGATCCAAATAATTACAGACTGGTCGGGGGAGGGGGGGGCAAAAATCTAGAACAGTTTTTTAAGCAGATTTTTTTAATATGGGCCATATTATACTGCCATGAGCTAGCTAGATACAGACTGATTGAGCAATCATACCCAATGACCATACATCAGGTGTTCAAGCTAGAAGAATGTGTGGAGCAGCGTATTTTGAAGCTCTGTCTTAGGCTCTATACCAGTGGTGGCGAACCTATGGCACGCGTGCCAGAGGCGGCACTCAGAGCCCTCTCTGTGGGCACGCACGCCATGCCCCGGAGATGGCAACCGTCTTCTTCAACTAGCCGCCCGCTAACTCGCCGAGGTCCTACGTGGCCGGATGAATCCCAGCATCCATGCGCTTGCTGGCCTCTGTGTGCGGAGGCTGATGGTGTCAAGCAGCAGCCACCCCGGCCCCTGCCTCGCCTTGCCCTGCAACAATGGCAAACCTGCCCCGCCCCGTCTTGCCTCGCCTCACTCCACAGGATGAGCCTCCCGCCCACCATCCCACCCACCAGAGACCCCCTGGATCTCCCCCAACCCTGCCTGGCCCCCACTGGCATCTCTCCCCAGGAGCAACATTGAGCTGGCCACGCCCACCCTGGCCACACCCACCCATCTGCCATGATCACCATAGCCACGCCCATCCAGTGGGCCACACCCACCCAGCGGGCCATGCCCACCCGGCACCCGGCGATATATAAGTGGATTTTGGGTTGCAGTTTGGGCACTCGGTCTCTAAAAGGTTCGCCATCACTGCTCTATACTCTTAACTTATTTATAAGTAACTTGGAGGAGAAATTAGTAAATATAAATATAAATTTTATATTTGGACAACCCAAAGACAGACAAACAACAAACACTTCAAAAGATGGTATCAAATCAGAAGGCTTTTCACAAGTTGGAGGAGAAAGCAACAAGATGCATTTCAGCAGGGACAAATGCAAAGTGTTTCATTGGAGTAAGAAAAATGAAAGGCATGAGTATAGGATGAAAGAAGCCATACTGAGCAACAGTACATGCAAAAAAAAAACCCTGAGTGTCTTGGTGGATCCCAGGATCAACACGAACCAAAAGTGTGATACCACAGCCAAAAAACCCAAATGTTATTATATGCTAAAATCAACAGAAGTAAAATGCTAAGATCAAGGAAAGTAATCATTCATCTCTATTCTACATAGTTCAGACAACATCTAGAATATTGTGTCCTGTTCTGGGTGCTGCAATTTAGGAAGGGCATTGACAAACTAAAATGTGTTTAAAGAAGAGCATCCAAAATGATGAGGATCCTGGAAGGGAAATCTTAGGAGGAACATTAGGCAATATGTAAATATTGATTGGCCATAAGGAAGGACTTCCAAGTGGGAAGAGTTGTTCAACAGGGGATGGGCGGTCTTGGGACCCTCCTCTGTTGGAATTGTTTAAAGAGAGGCTGGATGGCCATCTGTTGGAGATGCTGTGGCAATGCATTCCTGCACTGGACAGGACCTTGGACTACTAGGGGATCTCCATGATACATCCCAACCCTTACACTGTATGATTCGAGAAATGTAAGTGCACTTCCAATCCTGCCTGATAAAACAATTAAAATTTTAAACAATTAAAAATATCTAACTAAAAACAGACAGCCAATTTGGTGTGGGATCAAGATACCAGGCTACAAACCAGAAGACTATGACATTTATTTCCACCTTAGGCACCAAGCCAGCTGGGTGATCTTGAGCCAGTCACTCTCTCTCAGCCCTAGGAAGGAGGAAATGGCAAACCATTTCTGGAATCTTGCCAAGAAAACTGCAGGAACTTCTCCAGGGAGTCACTAAGAGTCAACACTGACTTCAAGGAACCAAAAACAACAATAACAACTAAAAATAGAATTGTTTGCTCTATTCCTGCACTTTAACTCCTGTGACATGCATTTCCATCCAGTGTGAACTTTGCTCTTGGCTTCCTTTGTCTTTTCCCACTATTATTCTTTAATAACTCCAGTACAGTTCTTTCTCATACTCCGATTGGTTTATGGACAGTAGATCTGGCCTCCATTTTACAATTGTGACATAGTAGGATTCACTTCCCAGATAGTGTCCCAACCTTCTCAGTACCACTTCCCTTTTGCTATTAATAGCATACTAATGTTGTTTTCCCCATTAGACAATCTTGAAATGGCTTACTATATGAAGAAGTGGGATAATTCAAAGTGTAGCATCAATAATTGCAAAACTCAAAGACAGTGTTAGCAAACAATACATCAGAAACTATTTTCAGGGTACTTCTATTCTGATGCCTATAGACCTTGTCTGAAAGTTTTCCTAACCAAGCTAATTTGGTTTGCTCTTTAAAACTGTGGTTTTTGTTAGCATTCTAATACTGAAAGAAGCCACGTGAGCAGTTCATAAACATTACTGTATATACAGTCAAAAAATTCCTCTGAATAGCCAGTTTTTAGTTGGATGTATAGATATTTTTTCTATGTACAAAATTCCCTCTGCTTTCTTGGAGAGAGAAAGAGCTGCTCAACCCTTGCACAGTTTTTGGTGAGAAACTGATGTGGGCCTCATTATAGATTCAAGAAAGTTGTCGATTGCTTAATTTTGCCTCTGCTATCACCACCAATTTTGTTAATTCCTCAATTCTTCTTTCCCCGCAAGGTTTTTTCTTAATCTTGACCTATGTCCTAGGCTTGCAGCCAGATGTACTGTAATCTTTCTCTGAACCGCACTCCTCTTACCTCACGTTTCGGCCCTTTGAATGAAGCATTCAGAGACGAGGGACATAGTTTGTGGATTTTCCAAATAGAATGATATAACCACCTGACTAGATAGTGACTGATGGGGCTGTGCAGGCCTGGAAGCACCGCTGCCCTAACCTTGTCCAACTTATTTTACAGGTAAACTGAGTTTCAGTGAAAGCAGGTGGTGCCTGTTTGGTCCCAGAAGGCCAAAGCTGATACCGGCTCCAGTTGCTTTGGCAGCCGACAGCCCCTGGGAGTCCCCCCTCCAACCTCTCTTGCCTGTTGCATCAGCCTTTTGAGGAGAGCAGGTGGCAGGAGCTAACGAAGTGGGAAATAAGGAGACTGCGATTCTTAGTTCTCCTTCTGGACCTCCATTCCGCTAAGATCCGAATTATTTAGCAATAGGCTGTGAGGAGACTGCTTCCTTGAAATGTCAGATAGTATCTGGAAGGATAGGTTAGGGAATGTGGTTTTTTTTTCAATCATATACAGATTTTTAAATTTGGCTGGTTACATTTGGGGATCAGATAATAATGTTCATTATTGCCTGATCCCCAAATGCACCGTATCAGATTTGATCATCCAGACTCCCCCCCCCCCACTTTCCCCCATTTTGTGCTTGTTTTTAAGATGTAGTAAGTTCAATGTGTTCTTATAGTACTTTTCTTACAGTTCATTTTTTTATAGTACGTTTCTTATATTGGGCCAGATGGACCTATTATCCAACAGCAAGGGAGGAACTAACTTAATTGTATTTTGCCCCTATAAGACAATATCCATGTCTAAATGGTAGTGCTATACAGGAGCTACGCATCTTCTTCAGGACTTGTACAAATACATGTTTGATCTTGATAGAAAAGAAATATAGCTCAAGCATTTAGGCCCGTGGTGGCGAACCTATGGCACGTGTGTCACAGGTGGCACGCAGAGCCATCTCTGTGGGCACGCGCACTGTTGCCCCAGTCCTGAGCCTTCAGCTGGGTTTTATAAAACCTTTTCACCTTAGGCCTCCACCGCCATGTGCAAAAAAAAAAAAAGGTTCAATCAATCAATTTCAACTTCTCACGAAAAAAAAAGATCTCGCAAAGTTGGAATTGATTGATTGAACTTTTTAGTCCCACCCAGTCTGCCGTTACCACCGCAGCCATGCCCACCCAATGGGTCACGCCCACCCAATTGGCCACACCCATCCAATGAGCCACACCCATCCAATGGGCCACACCCACCCGGCACCCGACGATACATAAGTGGGTTTTGGGTTGCAGTTTGGGCACTCGGTCTCTAAAAGGTTCACCATCACTGATCTAGGTGCGTGTATAGATTTCTGGACAAGCATTAAATACTAAACTTCAATATTTGAATTTTATTTGAATTTGTTTGAGATGTTCTGTGTTGAGATCTGCCTCTCAGACTGTACCCAGCCAGTACAGTAGTTGGCCTGTATAATCCTACTTTCAGTGAAGAGTATTTTCTGATTTCTGACAAGTTTTCAGCGGGCCAGTTCTGTTGTGGGATGAGTGGAGGACTCCCTATGTGTACGTTAGGGTAGACATATCAATTAGTTATCCTAGTATTAGATTTACCTGCTCCCAGCTTACAGCTTCATGTTTGAGATTACCACCTGCATCCGAGGCTTCGAATAATGGGTGCAAGTGTTTGGTTTTTTTTAAGCTCTGGAAAGCAAGTGCAATTAAAAGTGTCAGTCAGTTCCATCTAGTGGTTTCTCTTAGAACTGCATTATGTCTCTGCCTTAATAATGTTTCCTCATTTTCCCTTCTCTTTCAGGTGCAATAATCGGACACAGTGTGTTGTGGTAGCTGGCTCAGATGCTTTTCCAGACCCTTGCCCTGGCACCTACAAGTACTTGGAGGTCCAATACGACTGTGTCCCCTACAGTGAGTTCATTTCCCATTGTATTATGATGCATCGTCTTGTTTCTGTTCTTGATCCAAATGAGATCCCCGCCTGACCCAGGGAGGAGAGATTCCACAGGCTGGCACACCCATCTACTGGCACAAAGCAGGGGATCTACTTAGGAAAAATACTACTTAGCACTGAAACAAGAAACAAGTCTTGACTATGGTGCCTCTTGTGCCAGGGGATTTCAACGGCTAAAATAATAATTTCACCTAATTCCCAAGTTTTAAGAATGGAATTGAATCTAATGCATTAGTTCTGGAAAGCTGGGCAAGAGGAATCCTAATTGTTCCATTGTCAACTCACCTTGTGTTGGATGATCACTGTTTCCATTTCTCCACCTTTTCTTGTCATCCAGTAGTTTGTATCCTTGGGTGCCAAGCACATGACTGGGCGCAAAGGTCTCAGTTTTAAATTTGGGGGATAATATTTTTGAGCAAAAAGTTAATTTTTTAAATCAGATTTTGGATGAAGGTTGAATACCAGATCCTTTTTATATTATTACCTGATCCCTCCATCACCTTTGAGCATTTAGAGCTAAATATTGCCTAACATTGGTCTTCTCCAGGATCATATTTCAGTCCGCCTCTCCTGAAGCTGAATTTAAGAAAAATAAAAATTCATCACAGAACAGACCTTCAGGGAAAAATGTTCCTCCCATATAAGGCCACCCATGACTCCATTTGGAAGGTGCAGGGGTTTGAAATACATGCTCCTAACATGCACTGTATGTTTCTGATTGTTGTAGATTTGTTTTTGTACATACATATGGATCTATAGCATTTAGCTAACCTTTATGTGAGTGTCCATTTAAAGGATATACCCACACTCTATCTTGTCTATATCTATATAGACATATGGATATACACACATACATATTCATGCTTCATATGATCTGCATATATACATATATCTATATATATGCATTGCATCCATGCATATATGGTCTGTATGCCCATATGGATGGTGCAGTGAGGTATATGGCTATCTCCATGTCGGTGTGCATGCATATGACTCTGTGTGTACACACATGCATGTCTCAATGTTTCGGTGTATGCTTGGGGGTGGTTTTGTGTGCTTCGTATTAGAGCTAAATCATCTGGGTGGTGGGAGGTGGGAACCTATTTTAAATGTAGCCATGGCAGCAGGATGAAGGGTACTGCCTCTTCCCAGAGGACAGGCAAGTGGAAAATGACTCTGCCACATGGCTGTCCTCAGTCACCGAGGTTAGAGTGTTTGCATACATACATGCATATGCTTTGAATGCTGCTAAGCTCAGCTGGGTGTATGGCCATTTGGGTATATGTACATTTTGGTTTTGAGTGTATGTTTGAGAGCCCACATGGTGTGAGTGATATATCAGTGGCCTTATAAGTATGTCTATGCATATTTATTGAATGTGGCCATGTATGCGCTTGTACCATCATCCAGACTAAGATACTTAAAATAAAACTTGACAACTGTTCTCTTTCTTGGAAAAAGAGGAAATCAAGGTAGGCATCCCTTAAAAAAATTAAGATAATGCAATTATTTTTCTCAAAAAGAACATGTGATTATTTTTTTTTTAAAAAAATGCAAATATGCTAACAAACAGAGCTTAACGAGAGTTTGATTTTCTGGCTTGTGAGATAATTGTGAAATCTGGAAATAGGACAGTTTTCTATTACAAGCTGCCCCTGTCTCCTGGAACCCATCTTTTTTTCATTCCTATTGATGGATCAAACTGAGTAGTTGCAGGCGGGGGAGGGGTGGTGGTGGTATAACTGCCACTCCCTGAACTAGTTTTTCAACACTAGGACTTGCTGAGGAATCTGAATTAAAACTGGATCCTGTAATGTTGGGCGGTGGATCAAGGAAGAAACTTTTTATTTCAGAGCCTGACTTAAATCTATCTCTCTTTGTATCATGGATCCTGACCAAGCCTAGTAAGTCTCATCTGGCAAGCCTAATAAGAGACACCGAACTGCCAGCTTGGGATGTCCTTCCTCCCTGGGTCAGAAACTGATACACCCTCTCCTTTCCTGTTCTGTTATTTGGGGTGTGTGGAGAGGTTGGCTCTTCCTTGCTTCATACCTTATCCACTCTCCACTGGGTCCTGGGTCCATATGGGAGGGATAATCATTCAGGGTGTATCCCCCTCCCTCCATGCTAATACCCCTTTGGTTTCTCCTCACAGATGAAATGGAGTGATGCAGGGCAGACGTGGCCTCTTAACTTCTTAACATTCATTCCTGCCCCTTTTCCTTCCAGCTACCTGACGGTGCCGAAACAAATCAATCAACGCTCATCTCAGGGTGTAACCAGTCCTGACCCCTCAAAGTTAACAGCACTGAGACTATACCAAACCAGCAAAGGGCACTAAATTATTGGTTTATAAAAAGGGGAGAGAAGATGCAGATGGTATTGTGGTAGGAAAGCAGGATGGGTGGATGTGCCAATGAGCATAGCTGTAGAAATAATTATCTCCTCAGCACAGGTGACCTCGGGGCCTGGAAATGACCCACTGCATCCATTTGCATACATCGCAGTTTATATATTATTCATATAAGTAATATTTACATATGAGTACATTTACAAACTCTTTTGTTTAGTTTTACACAATTTTTTCTGTTCAATCATATCCAGTTCTTGGAGACCCCCTGGATAAATCTTGGCAGTTTTTTTTGGCAAAGAATTTCAGAAGTGGTTTGCCATTGCCTCCTTTCTAGGGGCTGAGAGAAAATGACTGCGCCCAGGTTACCGAGCTGGCTTTGTGCCTAAAGTGGGGCTAGAACTCACGGATTCCTGAGGCCTTAACCACTACACCAAGCTGGCCCTCAGTTTTACACATAGTCATATGCATATTGCATGCATGTATATTTCCATAATTTAAAATGTTTGTATGCATACATTTTGAGTATGTGTACATACACATATGCACACAAACACCCTTCCATTTTTCAATCTCATGCAAAATACACATATTTTTATATATGTAGTATAGTGTACATAAAGAAGTATGTACTGTATAGATGCGGACAAGGACAGCGAGGGAGATTTCTTGGAACAGTTCATGTTTATTTATGAATTCCATACCGATTTATATGTATTACGAAAATGCACTGGCTAATTCACTCATATGTATTTTCCCATGAAGACTTTTCATGGTATTGTTTAGGCATTTATCCACCAAGTTTTTGAAACTGTGGATAAGCACATTAACACGAACTCTTCTATGATCCCCTTTTCCCTCCTTTTTTCTCACATTCTGGTCTTGGTGTGGAGAGATGTTGACTTAGGCTAAACCAAAGGTTTCTATAAAAATCATTTAATGAATGAGTCCATCTCAAGCTAGAAGATGCACACACAGATCTAGAGTGGACATCAACAATTCCCAAGACACAGTTTGTGAAGCCAAGGATATAGTATGGCTAAGCAAAGCCATCGTCTCTTCTATCAAGAACTCCTTGTGGTCACATTGGGTTTTCTGTAGAACCAGAATTCAATTCCTGATCTTGTTACGCCTTGTCCGGTCTCAGTATTTCTGCTATTCTCTGCTGGTTGCTCTATCCTGTTTCTTTAAACAGGGGAAAGCTTGATCCAATGCTGTTTCTGCTGGGCTCAGGACTGGGGCAGGTGATATGGGAGGGGAAAGCAAGAAACTGGAGTTGTGGCAGGGAGAGATGGGTCACAGAGCGAGAGCAGAGATGAGAGGGGCCTCTGTTGTCAGACCCTTTTGCTTCTTTCTTTGCAGCTCCTTCCACTCTAACCATACACCAATCTTCCTTCCTCAGGGGCCAGTCTGTCATGTGGAAAAATAAAACCATTTAATGTGTCCTATTTTTTGGTTTTGATTTTTAAGTGGATTTTTTATTATGGTGTCAATATATATATTTTAATATATATATATATTTTAAACACAACCTCCCTCTCCCCTACCTTCTTTTGGCTTCCTCCCAACTATCCTTTCTCTTCTTTCACTCCACCTTTTTCTGCCGCTTGCTTCCTTTGCTTTTTCATAGACCAGGGGTACTTAGTCCCTCTCTGCTTGATGAATCTTTCAAATGTTGGGATGTGGATATTTAAGCAACTAGTGGTGCCACCATTCACCCAGGAAAGTAGCTGTTTGTACAATATCTGGATTCTGTCCTATAAAGGATTGAAGTTGTTGAGGAGTTGCCAAACGAGATTTGTTAAAAGTAGGAAAAGAGCAGGAAGTTGCAGGGAATGCAGCACTTAATAAAACTGGGGGGTTAGGCCAGAAATAATATTCAAGGATCCACGTTTTTAGAGCCTGATCTTAGTAGTCCCTGTTGGTAATATAGATATTTATATTCGCATTGGGCAGATTTAGATTAGATGAAAAACCTCATATTGTCGACACTTTTGCAGAAGACTCAAGACTTTTTAGGTGAATGTATGATATAGTTTTCAACAGGTTATTTATTCATAATCTGTGAGAGCTTACTTCCTCTGAATTTGGCCATTTGTATAAATAATCTAATTTATTAGTTGGGCTTAGGCCAGGAGATATGCCCAAGCCCTTGTTCAACCACAAATTTCTTGAATGGTTGATAATCGACAACTGTCTTGTTGTGGGGATAGGTGGAGGAGAGGCCTCCTAAAGTAATGTCAGCTCTTGGACAAAATGTGTGATTTTGTGGGCACTTGAAAAAAAATTGACTTTATTATGGAGTGGAGAAGCCATTATTTTCCCTAAAGGACATACTAGGGCAGCCTACATCGAAGAGCTGGACCCAAGGTGAAGCAGGAGTGCCCTTCACTAGGGAAATGTACTGCTCACAAGCTCTGTGAAGCCACAGCATATCACAGTATTGCCAGAGAAATTACCAGTTTTCTTACAATTTCACCTACACTGTATTTGAGCAAGAAATAAATTGGTTCATCTCTACAATGCTGCCAGCATGATAGGATTGGAGAGATCCAGAGCTGCTTTCAGAGCAGTACAGAATTCTTACGAGGAGCAGTGGGAATCAAG